AGAAGGGACTTAAAAGAGTTCGATGACTCAGCTGACCTGATTTCCTGGGGCAGGCTGTTCCAGAGCCTCGGGGCCCTGACAGCAAACTCTCTGTCCCCTTTAGTTTTCAGTCGAGACTCTGGAACAGACAACAGACCTCTGCCCGAGGATCTCAAGGTACGTGCTGGTGTGTATGGGACTAAAAGGTCAGAAATATAACAAGGCGAGAGGCCATGAAGAGCTTTAAAAGTGATCAATAGAATTTTAAAGTCAATTCTAAAACATACTGGGAGCCAGTGTAATGAAGCTAAAATAAGAGTAATGTGGTCATATTTCTTTGTTCTGGTTAAAAGCCTGGCAGCTGAGTTCTGGACAGTCTGGAGTCGATCAGTAGATTTTTGGGTTAAACAAGTGAAAAGGCTGTTGCAATAATCCAGGCGTGATGAAGGTGAAATTGAATTTGCTACATAGCAGACAATTTACATTCCTATGGAAGCAATTGATGGAAAATGAAAAATGGTAAACAGACTAAATCCAATGGAGCAGTGCTGAGGATGAAATTGAGTTTAAGAGTCTGATAGCTTGGGGGAAAAACCTGCTCTGCAGTCTGGTGCTGTGGCAGCTGAAACTTCAATATCTCTTCCCAGAATGCAGCAGAGTGAACAGGCTGTGGCTGGGTGGGTACTGTCCTTTAGTATCCTTTGGGCTCTGCATAGGCACCTCACTGATATCACTGATCCTCGGACGATGGGTACCAATGATCATCCCTGGCCGACAGCAGAATACCATCTTTGTTTCAAATTTCAAATTTGCATGCAGTGTTTTGTTAAAATCAGGCGGCATATCAGTTTAAAAAACAATGAAATGAAAACAAGACGAGTAATGAATATTCACTGCAGTTCTTCTTCTGTCATGCTGAGCCATAGTGTAAACACAGGTTTGTATCACGATGGCAGCTACAGCTCCACCTCAACTCGTCGAGTTGTGTATAGAAGCACTTTGCATTACCATTATTTTAGTTTGAGGCCGCTGGCTTTGCTGTTTTGCCTGGCCAACTAAGTAACATACAACGCTCGCAATAGCAAAACGCTAAAGGCTACTGTGTTATAACACTGAGTTTGTCTGCTTTGTCGTCCTCCTCAGACTCCCACTCTGTTGCTGACTCCCAGTCCTCTGCTGTCTAACATCCACTTCTGGAGCACGCTCAGTCCAGTCGCTCCCCTCAGCCCAGCCACACGTCGCCAGGGAGCCCACCTTTTCCAAGTCAGTACATTAGAGTATACCTTCTTTCTGCAGTATCATTTCATTACTCTGTATTTGACTAATGCGTCCTAACACTCCACTCTGCTCTGTCCCAGTTTCCTTCAGTCCTCACCCCTCAGTTCCAGATCCCTGTACACAGTATGGATGGGACCAACACACCCGGCCCCATTTCCCCAGACCCCCAGAAGACATAGGATAAACCCCCCACAGCACCACTGCATTTGGACCCAGCCAGCCAGACACCGTCCCCACTCCTGCTCTCACATCCAGGACAGTTATGTGGGAGCTCATTGCCATTCCTCATCACTCCGGTGCTTTAAAGTTCACTGCCACAGAACTTACACTACACTCAGATGTGTGGAGAGAGGATCTGATATGTTGGCAGTCCAGGTTTGATGGATGAGGGTAACACATTCGGTTTGTTTCACAGCATTTACAGCCTGCAGATGATCTCCTGTACTCACACACTGATGCCATTGTTGCTTATGCACTTTTCTTTCATTTTGTCTGGCTTTTTGGGATCCTCAGTCACAACAATTCAAAGGAGGGAGGAATTTCCATGGCAACACTTGGTGCATGTGGATTGGACTCTCAGCAGTGACAATCTGCTTCATACTTGGAATCAGAGAGCAGTGGGATTGCAGATACCTGAATCTTTCCTTTTATATAATTTCCTTCTTCTAGCAACAGTGTTACTGCCAAAAGATGCGTTTTATGTTGTCAGTGTCAAATCTGCTTTCTCCTCTGCTGACAATGATTCTGCTCCTTTCTGCGCTTTGTCCTTAATTTTTCCTCTCGTTGTAGAGTAGTGCTTGAACTTGATAGTGCGCATGTTTACCTGCAACTCGTTTATCTTTCCCCCAGCTCTCCACCTCGCCTCACCTGCCTGAGTGTGTAGTATTTGCTGCTCTGAAGTGTTGGCTGACTATAGCCATATCCCACAGGACTTTTACCTTGGCTGTCTTATCATAACATATGGCCATAATCCAAGCTGAACCTTGAATCATGCCTCTATGTAACTGTTCTAATGCATATATACAGCAGAGTAGCCCTTAAAGCCAGTGTGGCCTGGTCTGCCTCCAGCCACTGAACTTTCAAGTGGGAGTGAAAGAAAGTGAAGCCATAACCCGTTTTGTGCATCAACTCTGCAAGGAACAGCACACAAATCCTGTTTTTGTTTCTGCAGCCCTACATTGTTAAAGGCAGCCGTCCTGTTAGTGACACTTATTTACAGATTTACTGTACAGTAAATATGTGGCTAGCAGCTGCTTAGCACAAAGACTGGAAACAGCTGGGCTGGTTCACAAAATCCCCCTACCAGCAGCTCTAAAGTTAACTAATTATCATGTTGTTTCTTGTGTGTTTAAAAGCGTGAAAAAGTGTAAAAACATCAATTTACTATTGTATGTGCCAGAATTTTTTACAGCTGGGAGCAGTGACTTATTGGAGTCTCAGTTGGTCTCCTGATAACTGCTCATGGACAAGAAATAGTTCCAGCACACCCATAAAACCACAAATTGTTATTTTTATACTGAAGGAGATCTTACAGGTTAATTAATGAACTTCAGAGGTGTCGTTAGGGCCAGTCTAGCTGTTTCCCCCCCTTTTCCCCACTGCTAAGCTAGGCTAAGCTAACCAGCTGCTGGTTTCAGCTACCTATTTTACAATACAGACATGAGGGTGTCGTTCTTCTCATGTAACATTTCGCAAGATTAGGTGTATTTCCTTAAATGTTGAGCTATTCTTGAAAGTAGAATTTGAACTAAAGCCAGACCTTGTGAGGCAAAGTCAGGGCCGTTCTGTCTGTGGTTTATGATTATATGGATGGCTGTTGCTTGCAGCATCAGAGCAGTTGTTTATCACTGACTGAACCTCCGAATCTTACAGGCTAGACTATTAACAGTCTAGCCTTAACCTTTGCCTAGCCTTAGCCATATGAAGTACATCAACCTTTAATCCCGAGGACTGTAGAAACCTCCTGGAACACTGAAGCACCTTCTTGCCCAAAAACCCATAAACTCCTGTAGATCATCAGCCATGAAAGGTTTACACCTACTTTTGTAAATGACTTTGAAGCCATAAGTCTGAGACAAACTGAATAGCAAGATCCCACAAATCTACACTGTTAAATGTAGAAATTGTACATCGCACTTGTTTACATGATACTTGGATAGAACACGCTTAGGTGTTTCTTTACCAAAGTGTCCCTTTCTAACCCAGGGATGGATGACCAGCGAATCTTGGGGGGGTGGGGGTGGTCATATTCATTTATACTCACCTAACAACAGACATTTGCTGTCCGTCACATTGATATATACGGTGCCTTACCACAGCCAAGCCCAGGTTTATCTCCCAAAAGTGGATGGAGTTCTATTTAACAGTATGTACAGAACTAACAGCGTTCCTGTTTGTCTTTATGCCATATCTTTGTGCACACCAAACCAGAGCCCCAGAGGTTTGGAGTACACTGCAGCTCTGCCACAGCTTACGTACTGCAGGACCTTAACAGTGCTGCAGTGTTCTTCAGGATGCATATCTGTATATAGACAGCAACATGGGTTAATATGCAGCATGTAAATCTAATCAGGCCATGTTTTATAGTTTGTCTCTTTCTAACCTGTTTATAAATGTTTACTCCGAAAATATATATATACATATAAACCCTGTTTATTATGTTTTGTGTAATCTCCTTTAATTTTCCTGTAACACCAATAGATTATAAGATTAATTTCTATTTTTGTAATGGCCAGATAGATTTCTGCTATTTTGGGTTTTCTGATTTTGCGGTCTCTTGTGCATGTTTCTTTCTGTTGTGTTCGGCAGGCGGCTGCTCCATTGTGGCATTGGCTATTTTTTGGGAATCAAAGCCTTATGGGGAGAAATCTAAATCTATGTTTTATATGTAAAGTGTTTTGATATAGTGTTGATATTGTACATGCAGATGTTGTGATGGAACGTTTGCACTCAAAATTTTGGGGTTCCTGTAATATTGGATTCTGTCACTTTTCTATAACTCAGATTTCCTCTTTGAAGAAATGTTGAATTTTGCTTACTCAGAAATGTATATTTTCCCAAAGGGAAGATAAAATTATGCACTTAGTATTTTATACAGTAAATCTAATATTTTACAATATATATCAAATGATATACAGTACAGTGATTTATGATTAGGCACTACCACACAATATTTATTTATTTGAATTTATAGTAGAGCCCAATATAATTGGTAGCTCATATTGCATTTTTGCAGTAACTTTGGTGAAAAACTATGAAATATCCAGATAAAAACCCCAAAGCCCTGAAACTTTCCTCCATCAAGTCTTCTAGGACTTGTTTGCATATAGCTTCATTTCTGTCTTCTGATGGTGTTTTTCCTTTAGCTTACCTTGAAATGTAAACTTGTTTTAAAAAGAAATGACCGTTCTGGCTTTGTTCTGTCAAGTTTTCTATTTGTTTGATGCTTTTTCAAATGTTTACAAGCTGCTTGTCTTAAGTGGCGTATTGATATGTGAGCGGCGTAGAGGAAGTGTTTCTAATGGAAGAGAAAGGTGAGACCAATAATACATGATCTCTAACTGACCACGTGTCTGTGTTCTGTCATTACATCGGCTCTGTTCAAGAAGCACCCAGTCCTCTGCTGTACAACATCACACAAGGAGCTCTTACACAGTCCGATAGGAGCAATCACATATGACATAAACATGATACAAGACTTCTACCTCCACAGTCCATTCACATTCACAGTGAAAAGGCAATGCTTTATCATTAACGTATCTTTTAATCAAACTGCAGCTGAGTTGTAATGTGCTGCAAGAGGTGTAAGTCATGTAGTGGTTGTCCATTAAGCTGCATGTTGATCATCAGGCTTGTCTTTAGGTCAAAAATGTTCAGTTTGAGGAGGCCAGAATAAAGCTCCTATTCCAACACCAGGGTCAAATGTGGGTATGTCAGCTTGTTCTGCACATGCTCCCGTCCTGTCCTCAGCAGAGGCATTTGATCATTTGTCCTCTGGTCTCCCCCTCAGATCATGTGCCTTCTGTATTTGGCTTGTCCTCCGTGGCTGTGTTTTCTTTAGATGAATCTGAGGGGTAAACAGTGTTGATTAGTTTGATTTGCAGTAGAGAGATAAACACAAGAGAACTGACATCCACAGGCTATAGAGCTTCAACAATAGATACCTACAGGAGGAAAATCAAATGGATGCGCAGTTGCGCACATTCACGTGTTTTATTAAATGAAATTTGCAATTGCCAAATATATGATGTGTCACTCTAGCGAAGGGCGGGAGCAGTGAACACACGGGTAAGTAGGAGATAAACAGCCCGAACAACAGCAATAAACAGCAGACATAAGAAAACAAGTGAGGGAGAATGAAAAAGCCAAGCAAAACAAGTAAACAACACAGCACAGCCATGAGAAGGGAAATAACAATAATTCAAATTAATAATTTATTGACATGCATAAACAATAATGTTACTACCCGTTGACAACCATGGACAACCTAAATTTGTTTGTGTGTGTGTGTCTATGTTCTCCGTCTGGGTGTGTGGGTATATAAGCCTGTCATGGGTTGAAAGAGTGGGACGCCACAACAGCCCCAGCAGCCAGGGCACCCTGCAACCCTCCCAGAGCGCAAAGGACTCAAGACCACATGTCCCAGGAAAAGCCCCGCCCGCCCCAAGGGAGAACAGCAGAGAGCCGTGCCGAAAGTCCCCCAGCCCAGCCTTCCAGTTCATGAGTATAGTTTTCTTGCCGATGCACAGGGCAGTGAGAAGCATGTATGATGCTCCAGTACAGCACGCAGAGTGATGGGGAAACGGGGATGGGGTACCTTAACCAAAATGATAGGTCTTCACATATCTTCTGCTAGAACTTTTGGACAGGTACACTTAACCACATAGCATGCATGTAACTATCAGAGATGTTGCCTGAACAGTTCAGACACGTTTGACTGAATAAGACCTATTCTGAACACACTTTGTTCTGTATAGTCTGTTCTGTGGAGAGTTTTATACTGTATGAGTTGCATATTGGGATTTTTAATCATTCTAAAAGTATTTAGTCAAGTAGTTTTGGTCAGGACCACTGTATAGATCTGTGTCTCACTTGAAGAATGGGAGAGAGATTGAACCATCTGTTTTCAACAGTAACATGTTTATCTTTGATAATAGCATTGGGGGCGAGAGTTTAAGAAAGTCTGTTATCATTGGAGGTAGATCTAAGTCCATTTTGTTATACTTAAATCTTGCCCGAATTATGGATTTAAACTGTTGATTTTCAAGAAATGTATAATTGCTAATTCCATATTGTGCCACTACATCCTGGAATGGAATAAGGTCACTACCCTGGATGACATGCTCTAGATTTTTTTTAATCTCTTTATCATACCACAATGGGGAATTTAATGTTTTCTCATTTAGGATGATGTCAGGATTGTTCCAGATTGGAGTAAGTCTGCATGGGATAGGTGAAGACCCAGATATTTTGAGAAATTCCCACCAGGCTGCCAGGGAAGTGCTTATGTTAATGCTTTTAAAGCCGGCATAATGTTTGATACTGGAGCTGATGAATGGCATATCGGAAATTATATTTTCCTTACAGAATGTTTGTTCTATGTTCATCCATGAGTTGTCCAGTGGGCTCTGATTGATCCATTTTGAGGTATATTGTAGTCAGTTGGCCAGGAAGTAATGAGAAAAAATTGGTAGTTCTAAACCAACACAATAGTTCAGCCATGACAGTTCTGACAGCCTGGAGGAAATATTGACACCCAGGTATTTAGTATGTGTGGAAATCACACATTGCAGGTAAAATTATGGATTTACTCCAATTTAAGAACTAGTCTGAGGTGGAAGAGAAGTTTGTGAGTTTAGGAGGAAATGTAATACATCGTCTGCATAAAGGCTTATCTTGTGGTTTACATTTTCTGTTTGAATTTCTTTAATATTTTTATTTTGTCTGATAGCAGCTGCTAGTACTGACAGAAGCTCTTGGGGAACTGTATAATGTTTTAATCCAGTCCATGAAGGATTGTCCAAATCCAAATTTATATAAAGTAGTGAATAGAAATTTCCCATTCACCCTACTAAATGCTTTCTCTGCATCTAAAGAGAATATCCAAATCTATATTGTCCTGATTGTTCCTCACTACTAAATATTTCACGGTCGATTGTTTGTGGTATTATAACAAAGTGGAAGCGACTGGGAACAACAAACTCAGCCACAGAGTGCCTCACATGCTGAGGCACACAGTGCGCAGAAGTCGCCAACTTTCAGTCAATTTGGATTAGCTCTAGAATGGGGCGTAGAGAGCTTCATGGAATGGGTTTCCATGGCCAAGCAATTGCATCCAAGCCTTACATCACCAAGAGCAATGCAAAGTGTCGGATGCAGTGGTGTAAAGCATGTCGCCACTGGACACTAGAGCAGTGGAGACGTGTTCTCTGAAGTGACAAATCATACTTCTCTGTCTGGCAAGCCGATGGACGAGTCTGGGTTTGGCGGTTGCCAGGAGAACGGTACTTGCCTGACTGCATTGTGCCAACTGTAAAGTTTGGTGGAGGGGGGATTAGGTGTTGGGTTGTTTTTCAAGGGTTGGCTTTGGCCCCTTAGTTCCAGTGAAAGGAACTGTTAATGCTTCAGCATACCAAGACATTTTGGACAATTTCATGCTCCAAACTTTGTAGAAACAGTTTGGGAATGGCCCCTTCCTGTTCCAACATGACTGCGCACCGGTGCACAAAGCAAGGTCCATAAAGACATGGATGAGCGAGTTTGGTGTGGAGAACTTGACTGACCTGCACAGAGTCCTGACCCTAACCTGATAGAACACCTTTGGGATGAATTAGAGCGGAGAATCCTGACCTCACAAATACACTTCTAGAAAAATTGTATAAAATTCCCATAAACACACTCTAAACCTTGTGGAAAGACTTCCCAGAAGAGTTGAACTGTTGTGGGCCAACTCCATATTAAAACCTACAGATTAAGAATGGGATGTTATTAACCTTCTTAAAGGTAGGTGACCCAAAAGTTTTGGCAATATAGTGTAAGTATTTATAAAATTCTCTGAAAGGTATTATTTATTTCTTCTGGGTTTCAGTCATATTCCCAGCTGAGTCTTTTGTGGAAGAAGTTATTTTTTCATTATTCACTTGGCAAGGAATCTGCTGGATTTATCACCATGTTTAAAGTTCTCCAAGTGTAGTTTTTGCAACTGCAACTGAGTCTTTTTATCAATAATTTCTTTTAATTCAAGTTTTCATTTTCTCAGCTCTTTCAACATACGTTCCTGTGGGGAGGCAGACTGGGCAGCTTCTAATGTCTATTTTTCTTTCTAGCTCTTTTTTTTCCTCGGCTGTTCCGCCAGTGTATGAATGTGTGTGAATGTTAGTTTCTGTTTGAGCACTTAGGCTCAGTGAATGAATGTGTGTGAATGTTGGTTTCTGTTTGAGCACTTAGGCTCAGTGAATGAATGTGTGTGAATGTTGGTTTCTGTTTGAGCACTTAGGCTCAGTGTATGAATGTGTGTGACTGGTGAATGCAGATGTAGTGTAAAAGTGCTTTGAGTGGTCGAAAAGACTAGAAAGGCGCTATACAAGTACGGAACATTTACATACTTATAATTTAAAATACAAGTAAAGTAAAATAAATAAATATTAGGTGCCTTCTTTTTCTAAGTTTTCAATGTCGTAGTGTTTTCTGTTTTGTTACTTTGGTTGCTGCACACATCAGAACTGTAGGACTGCCCTACAAAGGCAGAGCAGTAGTTACAGAGCCTGTTGACATAATACATATTTTATGCTATAGAAGAAGCTGTACTGGATTGTTATTCCCAAAGTGTGTTACTGGAATTTCATTCACTTTCTCCATACTGTATGTGTCTACCTGATGTGTGTTTACCTGTGTGGCAGTTTCTGTGGATGTGCTGGACATAGAGGAACAGCAGGAAAAGGCTGAAGCCCATGAATGACGCTATTGTAGAAGACAACAGAAAGGCATAACTGCCCTGACTGTGGATCACCTGCAGGAAGAAATACAAACACACACACACACACACACACACACACACTCTTTGGGTTTCTAATCTCTCACAACTCTGCAATCAACAGATTGCCATTTTGCCACAGAACAGGTTTTAATGGCAGCTTCATTTATTCAGACACAGCAAGTCCAACAACCGAGGTCGAGGTCAGTGTTTCCACACAAACAATAACCCAGTGCGTTTAATACATGCAAGCTGACAGCAGTGCAGGTAGACGCTCCCCTGGTGTCCCGGATTGTGGACTGTCTCACTGGTCTGCCATAGTATGTTAGACTGCAGGGCTACATATGTGACACACAGGGCACGGTCTGGTCACCTTTTCTGTTCACACACTACACCTCGGACTTCAGATACAACTCCACATCAATGAAGGGAAGGAGGGGGAGTACAGAGGTATAGTGGACTCATTTGTTGAGTGGTGTGGGCTGAACCACCTGTAGCCTAACACTGGTACGACTAGGGCTGGACAATAAAACAATAACAATAATTATCGCAATTTTTTTTTTTCAATAACAATATAACAAATGTTCAATAAATGTTGGATTTTATTCACTTGAATCATACACGAATTATGATATTTTTTTTATTAAGATGTTTACTGAAAAGACTGAAAAAAACTTTTACTTAATTTACGCATGCATATTTGTTGACAAAGATTTTATCATAATTGTTTTGAATGTTCTACCTCAGATTTGTGAAGTTATCCACTGTTTGGCATCAAGTGTTTGTTCTGACCATGAACAAGAGTTTAAACCACAATTAACCATCAGGTTTCTTCAACTTTCACTCAGGAACAAAAATCTGCCTTTAAACTTGAAAAAAAGGATTTGATAACTTATCATGATAATTACTGATATCGAAAGATATGAAACTTTTTATTGTGATAACATTTTTGGCCATATCGTCCAGCCCTAGGTATGACAAAGGGGTTTGTGGTGCTGGGAAACACCCTCATGCCTATTTCCATCCAGGGAGCGTATGTGAACACTGTTCAGGACTACCTGGGACTATACCTGGACAACAAGCCAGATTGGGTTCCGGTTATACAATATCTGCAGTACCATGCCGAGGATGTTCTACCAGTCTGCAGTGGCCAGTGCTGTGGTGTGCTGGGACAGCAGGGTGAGGGCAGTCGATGCCAAGAGAATCAACAAGCTCATCAGGAAGCTGCGGAGCATCAGACACTGACTCTCAACCTCTCCATGATGTGATGGTCATGGAGGAGCACCTTCAGCAGCAGAGTGTTACCACCACGATGCACAACAGGAAATCCTTCCTGTGGCAATCAAACTTTATAACTCATCTCCTCGTGTGGAGAAACGGACAGCAAACGCATGGGGTGCTGAGGTGGTTCCAGCCTCCGCTTCAGCTGCTTTGTTTAATCTTTCTATCTGGATTACTTTGTCGATTACAATCATTAAAACTCTCTGATTTACGAGAAATAATGGGACATTATGTGCCATATCATGGACATAATAATTTAACATTCTAAATTAACCTTATGCACTTCCCTCTCTGTGATATTTGACGCCACTTCTGATACACATCTACATGCAGCCCATCAAGTATGACCTCACTGTTAACCTAATTATATTTGTAAGGATTTCGTATATTTTATATTTGGACCTTATTGATAATTTATATTTTACAGTTGCACTAATATATCAAAAGAAACAAGCAATATGCAGAAATAACCCTAATAAGAATCATGTAAAAATATGAAATGTGTAAGCATTGGTTTGAATTTCATCATTACTGTAAATAAAATGACATTCAAGAAGAAAGGTCACTCCTGAAAAATGTCTTACAGATCCAACAAGCACCTGCAGCATCATCTCTCCTGTGCTGGCACTGGTCACCAGGACAGTTGTGGCACAACCTTTAACACACAAGGGATAGGCAGTAATTATTTACAGTTACAGAGGAGTAAAAATGACAAATACATTGAATAAGAAATAGGTATGTACTGCAGTTTTCCCCATCGACACTTACTAGTGGTGTACAAAGCTAAGTTAATTGCTACACCCGCTACTTATGTTGGCTAGCTCCAAGATATTTAGCTTTTGCAAACAAATAGACACAGAAACAGAGATCAGAAGTAGATTTGTAGAGATATATTTCTCACAGCTAGCTAACATCAGTATCAGGTGTAACAATACAAGTCAGCTCAGGTCAATGCAAATAAATAAAAGTTGAAATGCAGAAATACATAAATACATGTAGTTCCTGATTCATTACCAACACTGATCTTTCTATTATTAATAATTATTAATTTAATTATTTATCTATGATTTCAGCTTTTGTTTATTCTATTTACTAATATCCATATAAAAATGTAATCTACATGCTTTTTGATGAAGAAGTCATTCTTGGTTTTCCACATGCAGCATGTGACTTCCAAGTTGAGTTAATGCTGAGAGAGAGTGTGTGTAAGTGTACCTTTGTAGTCTAGTAGGTCCTCTGTATAGGCCAGCATGGAGGGGAATACACTGCTGATGCACAGTCCCAACACACAAGTACCGATGAAGAGAAACACACAGCTGGTGTAGAAGATCATCAACAGGCACTGCACCAATATGACACCCACCTGAAAGAAACACAGTGAGTAAGAGGATGACCACGACTTAACTGATGTCTGGATCTGCAGTAAACATCCAACTGACCACTGCTACTTGCTCTCGAAAGGAAACAGTGAGCCAGTGAATTAGAATTAACATCTGTTATCCACTGGAGCACCTGCTTAGATGAGGCTGATGTTAGCACAACCTCTGGCCTCAGTGGCGTTGTCGTGATCTAGGAATTTCAGCGCCAAGTCAAGTTGCACCTCCTGATTGAGTCTACTGCTGCGGTGAGTCGACCGGGTGCTGTTTTGGGCTGTGGCAGCTCACCTGCCCTGACAAAAGCGATTTCCCTCTGGCTGTGGACATACTTGTTGATGGCACAGAGCCTACGCGTACCCCATCTGATGACCTTTTTTTCCATCACGCTGACCCTAGCAGTCCCTTACGTACTCACCGACGCGGAAAGTATAAGCTTTGCTTTACAGATGTCAGCCCAGGACATCTTCCTCTCTAGCGCACGCTCCCATCTTGTCCATGCTCCCTGCTGCCGCATGCCCACCATACTGCTGGTCTGTTCCTCCTCAACACCTGCCTGCACTTCCTCCAGGACTAGATGGCATTTGTCGTAGCGAGGTTGTAAGTAGCTCCCAATCCCACCGGTCACGTCATCAACGTGCCCCCCAAAAAAACAGCAAAGGACAGAAGATTTCTCCAATAGGCAAATGGTATGGTGTGGGAGGAAACCAATGTGAACGCAGGGAGAGCATGCCATGTCAGCACAGACAGTGTCAGTTATTTCCCCAATATAAATGTGTTCCTATGGAAACACATGTAGGAAGAAACGGAGAAAGGTCCGATTTAGCAGCTGTAACCATTACAGCTTCCGGTCTACCTGACCCCAAAAAAACAGAAACACGTGAAAAATCACAAAGCAAATTCTCTCAGCAAAACTGCCTGTGTTCATCCAAGACCACAAAGGTTCAGGAGTTATGTGCCCTACATGGATGTGTTGCAGGAAATCTATGAACACATGTAGGAAGAAACAGACAAAGTTCAGCAGCTGTAACCATGGATATGATGTGTCCCTTAAACACAGCTCTCCGGCTGCTGAAACCCAGGATCGAACAAGGGACCTTTAGATCTTCAGACTAAACCTGAGAGCCAAACCAGTGTTAATGTTATCCCTCTGTGCTGTTTACCTTTGACACCACTAGAGGGAAGAGCTCTGTAACAGTTGCTGCTGGTGCTGACTAGACATCAGGCACCTAAATGTATTTCATGATCCAACCACTACCTTTAGTTTAAATAGCTTATAGATAATGTAGTGTTTCATCTTAAGAATGAATAAATGATTTAGGAATTCTATCTAAAAATGAGAATGTGTTGAAATGACATGACTTGAAGAATAAGAAATGAATGGAGACAAAGTGTTATTTATAGACACAGAGTCTGTGGGCTGTCATTAAATGAGCACGGACTATGTTGGGTTTCAGTTCAAAATCTTATTGATTCAAAAGAGTAAATGAGAGAAACAGGCAGACAAAGACAAATAGGGACAATACTCTGCTGCCTTTACTTAGTGTCTAAATCAAGTGATGAGAACCGCAAAGCAGTTTAGTTGGCTTAAAGATTCTGTTGTCTGTATACCTAACTAATCCTCATCCAAATGATAAGACTGTCATGTGCATTCCCACCCTGTTCCAATATTTGGTTAGAACAATTATTTTACTGCTGTGCATGAGCTATATTGTTTTTACCAGAAATGACTGCTCAGTGTGACACACATCAATGTGGGAACAACATAAAACCTGATGTTCACCTGTTGAGCTGTTTTTTCATTGTCAACTACTGTAGGGTGGCTTTATCCTTTAAATGTGTCCTCATACCAGACTGAAGGTGAGCAGCCTGGGCGGTGTGTATCTGTAGGACAGGTAGATGAAAGCCAGTCTTCCCACTGTGATGGAGGCCCAGAATATACTGTCCAGACAGCCTGCAGTCTTATGACCCATCAGCAGAGGAGGGGACACTGCGTAGGTGTAGACAAAGCCAGCGTAGGAGCCCTGAAGGACAAGAAACATTTCTTTGATTTAATGAGTTTGCCACTGTGTCTGTTTGTTAAGCTGTGGTCAACAACTTCAGCCTGTCAAATCAGCACTATTCAAAGTATGCCAAAATATTAGCAGTTCCTGTTAGCAGTGTACCTACGGATGTACAGACGTCACTGGGTTACTTTGATACTGAAAAAATGTATGAACTCATGATTCTCAGGCAAGTTTTGCAAGACAGTGTTTTTCTATGATTTCTTCTATGATGATATTCCAGACATTTATACACAATAGACATCAGACATCCTCCGAAAAGTGTAACACACTGAACTTCAAAAATATGTGCATCATGTTTGTTTTGACAGAGTTACACATTTCCCCATATTTTTGACAGAGTATAGAGTTAAATGTTCATATATATAACAGGAAGTCTCACTATAATCCCATCAGTGATGAAGAGGATGGCCCCTCCCAGAGTGTGGAGGATGAAGAAAGTAGCAGGGCGACCCCGGAGTTTGGCAGGGTTACAGCAACCAAACCACCTCCCGTGACCTGGATAGAAAAGAATGCTGAAAGGTCAGTCATTTGAATGGAGTGGTCACAAACACACACACATACATGCATTACCTTGACCACTGGACAGAGAGTCTCTGCTGAGCAGACGTGGACTGCTGCTGGAGCAAGGCAGCAGTCTCTCGTGGTACATCAATGTGAGCACTGCTGCTGGCACAGGGAGCTGCCAAGACACACACACACACACACACACACACACACACACACACACAAAAGGCTATTGTTAATTTAGTTAACAGTCAACACTTCTTGTCAGCTGATTCAAATTGTGACCCTCCCCTCACAAATGTAGAATCCCACTGTCTTATCTCGCTTTCTGCTTGAAACAGATCCAATGAAAACAGAAACCCTGTGGTTTCTCTGCTGAGGTGGGAGCTTATCACCTTATCTGAGAGGCTATGTTCAAGCTTATATCTGCCATCTGAAGAAATGCAAACAATTCTGAAAAGGACAAAACTGAATAAATTCTAGTGGCTCTGAAGAGCACATTTCATCAGTCTTGGCTGTGGATAGTGTTGATAGTGCTGTGGATAACACAACTCTAACTGGTACCGCTTAGTACAAACGTATTGGTCCTTACAGAAATGATTGGCAAAACTACAAAAACAAGACCCAGCTGTGACAAACTGTAACCATCTTTTAGTACTGTACATGGCAAAGCATGCAAACTGGACAGAGAAAATATTGGTATAGTTTAGAAAAAGACGCTCCTGGCAATCTGTCATATATGTCTTGAGTTATCTTTACACATTTCACACAGCTGCAGCTGGTTTCACTTCATCTACAATGCCAACCAGCAGAGTCATTTACATTCATCAATACTAAACATTTGAGCCATTCCTGTATATTAAATAGATTACTTCTACTGGCATGCATAGTATACATTTCATATGACACATGTAATATTGAAGTGAACTCACATTGATGAGAGCCATGATCCAGAAGGCGTACGACACCCTGGTGATGACTACTCCCTCGGTGTGCAGAGGATACTGAGAGATGTTGTGAAGCCCTGCTCCGTGCCCGGCCAGGCTGCTGCGAAGGTGCTGCAGGTCCGGAGAGGAGGATGAGTTTGCGGTCCAGTTTGCACCCACGACACAGCTGTCTTCTGCCAGGAAAGGATCAGCCACCAGTGGACTGACCAGTGCTCCCAGGCCTATGAAGAAATGCAAGCCCTGGGGCGAGACAAGAACATAGATCCAATGTGAGAAGCTAGCAAGAGACAACTAGACCCCCCAGGCCTCCCTCCAAAGCCACTCCCCCAGTGTGCACGGGCAGTGTGCACATTTCATTTGGACAGAATGAATTGACGGGCTTATTACAGTCCTGCTTTCTATGGTTTCTTTACTTCATGAATAAAGTCAATGAAACAGAATTAACTCTTATTATACAGTACACTCACGCTGACATCCTTAGCTGCTTCCTCTCAAACATACAACACAAACTAACACATTCACAGCCCCCCCACCCCACCTGCAGGAAGATGGCGGAGTCCTTCTGGTACAGCTTCACCAGCTGCAGGTTGGCGATGGTGTCAATAACCCCCATAGCTTTGCCAGCCAGCGCCATGGCGATGGATAACAGCATCACGTGGTTACATAGAGGTATGATGGCAAACACGAGCGAGATGATGAGAGTGCAGGAGAGGAGGGCTGACAGCGAGGACAGGAGTCTGGAGAACACCCACAGCATTACGCAGTGTATTTAATACATTTGAGGCTGAGTTTGGGTTTGAGTGAGTGCATTTTCAACACGTTCTTCACCTCTCCTTACAAATACTATTCTTATGAAACTAGTCAGCAATTGAGCTCAACAGTACTGTGAAACAGGAGTTTTACGGTTTGTTGTTGTTGAAGTAAAGTCACCTTGATAGTCTGCTGCTCCACTAACTTTTATTTACCCAGTGAGTTTATCACAGGTGTCCAGCAGCAGTACTCCTCTACATTATCTTCACCTTGTATTCACCTTCTTTCCTGCCAGCTTTCCACTCTCCTTTTAACCTTGTCCTAGATAACTTTTAGTTTGCTGAGGGGACATTTCACCCACAGCCTGTGATACAGGACTAAAAAGCATTAAGTTGAGTGGTTGCAATCTTTAGTGGCAATCAGAGGGTATAAATGAGTGGATGATAAATAAATCATAAATAAATAAAATTGAACTGTACCGAACATTCGCTTTTTATTGTAATTAACCTTTTTGTGCTGCTGTAAACCTGTATCTAGGAAGAAAAGAGCATTTCTCCCTAAGATTTGATATTGGATTTTACAAAAGAGTATATGAATTGTGAAATAAACACTTTTAAAGCTGTGTTAGATACGGTTAAATACGGTCTATAGGACTCAGTCTTTCCAAAGGTACAAGGCATTGCATCACTCTGAGTTATACACTCCTTCACTTCAGCCAGCATGGGATTCTTGGCCATGCTAGCGGCGTGGCTCTAGGGATGGCAGTGTTGATCAGTCGGCCCACTACTTTAGTCCAGAATGAAATATCTCAACTAATATTTCATGGGTTGCCATGACATTTTGTACAAACATTTATTGTCCCCAGACGATGAATGACTTTTCCGCTGACTTTTCAACCAGACTCACCATAAGATTGACATTTTAGGTTTTGAGTGAAATGTCTCAAGAACTACTGGATTGTCATGAAATTTGCTACACACATTAAACATGCCTCAGGATGAATTGTTTCTGTGAATTTAACAGAAAGCTGATGTGTGACTAAGGAGAGATATTATTTTCAGTACTGACTGTGGTGGCAGAAAATTTATCTGTCTTATATTCATGCTGATAATTTATCTTTAATTTGATTTAATATATCTAATACGGTGTACTTATATCATCTTCTCTGACATTATACTGTCCACTGGGACATGTCAGAAAAAGACAACGGTTTGTTGAAATCCAGTTATTTGTTCAGTTCTGCACAGGGAAATGTACTACTTCCACGACACCAAGCTAAGATAATATATAAAATAATGGTTTAACATGTATCAGACACCTGTCCCTATCCACTTCACACACTCATCTGCACATCAGGTCATGGTTCACTGCTGCTTAGTATGTGAGGTGAGGCACAGACCTGACATTTGAATTTTGCAGATTTGTCAGTCAAATTTAAAACACAATCAACTTGTGTAGAACTCAAATGAACAAACTGTAATAAAGCTCCAATAAGAGAAATCTAAATAGACATATAATATAGATATTATCACAGATGAAAATCCATTGTGTCCAGCCTCTGAATCTTCATTTTCTGAAGTGAGCAGAGCTCTTAAACATTTCCCAGTATTAATTATGTTTATAAGCAATTCTCCTAAAATGAGGAAAAGTCATAAAGTAAGATTTTGTTAGGTATGTGTTTAAAGGGGTCCTCAGTATCCTAAACATAACATATAACCATTGTTATGTCCTAATAGAGATTCTCTAGGGAGACTGGATTCCTTCAGATATGATAAGGGCCACAAACTCACTGTTGACAATCACCAACACAGTGTCAGGCGCATATTTCAGAGACTGCACTGTTGTTTTGTAGTATTGTCATGTTTAATATCCTACGGGGAAAGATCCCACCCAGTGCTCACTAACCGCACTCACGTCCTCTTGAAGAGTCCTCCCATGCTGCTGCCCACCATCAGGAAGAACTGCTGGGTGAAGAACACCCAGGTGATCTGCTGCAGGGTGGACTGGGTCTGACACCTCAGGTCCAGGATGGTGGGTCCAAGGAAGGCGATGCACAGACCGAAGCTAAAGAACACACTCCAGTAGGTGAGAGTTTGAGGCCAGTGGCGCTTAAACAGCGTCCAGATCCGCTCGTCCAGCAGCTTCATGTCGGTCCTTCAGATGACGCTAAACAGCTGCTCTTGCATTCAGTCTGAGCTCCGTCAGGACCAACTGCAAAAACTGCCAAAGGACAAAGTCAACACAGCTCTATGAGTCAGCCTGGGCACCAGCCCGGGTAACAGGTTAGTGCCAGGCATGCTACTGACAGACGTGGCGCTGCTTGGCTGAAATCCCAATGTCCCTAATGTCCCGCCCACTTTCTGATTGGTATCTGTTCAGTTTTTCACCGGTGCACAATGACCGGGTCAGTGGGGGAATTAGTACCAAATACTCCAAAGTACAGAAGTGTAGCTAGCCTCTGAGTCTGTAGGTGAAAACACTGACCGTTTTATTTACAGCTGAAAACCAGATGGATGCTGATGTGGGACTTTTGTTTGTAAAAACAATTTTTGAATGTATTCCCTGGGTAAAACCCCAGATCTACTTTAAACACAGCGGTATAAACCCCACATTGTTACCATAGTAGGCTCTGTCCCTTTATGGGATAGTGTTTTCATAGTTTGTTTGGAATGTCCTTCGCTCAACACGAGGTGAGACCGAGACATATTAACCTGTTGCTTTTATTTAGCATTGAGAGACGTCACGTTTCTAAAAGGGATGATTGGGTGGGGGCGGGGCGAGCAGAGGAGTTGGAGGAGCAGAGAGAAACGGGAGAAGTAGATGTGAGAGTGGCGAATAGCCACAAACCAAGACGAGTTTTATTTTTTGGGCCCATTAGAGTAACTAATTATAAATAAATTACCCTAAGTTAAGTGTCCCTGAGTTTCCCTCAGTAGTTTTAAAGGTGCAGCCTGACATATCAGTTTTACAGTTTCTGGGGATAGAAGTGGACTGGTGTATGTTTTGGTTTGTTAAGGTAATTTAAGAGACGTCAATTAGAAACCTAAAGGTGACTTATTTCATTTTATTATTTTTTAACTATATTTTTAAAACTTTGGTAAATAAATACTGTCATTTCATATGATTTACCCCTTTATCAGTGTTATAAATAGACACAATTTGAAGCAGAGGATTAACAAAAGCTTGAAAATTACGCATCTGCTTGTTCCTAGAGTATAAAACAGTTGAAAGCAGCACAACCAATAGCCCACTATAGAGTGCAGATTACTGAAAAGAACCCAGGGCGCTGTATCTCATGCTAGCTGATACTGAGAAAGTTCTACATGAAAGTAATTTTTAAAACTGTGAATTATTAAAGTCAAGATACATAGACTGTTTTATTATAGTCATATATTATAGGTTCATTTCTTATTTTTTCTTGCTGTATTTATTTGTATAATTAGTGAAACAATATATTTTACAACATTGATTTGTTTTATATTTTGAGTGATCATCACAATAACACAGACATCTCCAACCCCAGCTGGTTGTGGCAGATGCCCCCTACTCTGAGCCATGGTTCTGCTCGAGGTTTCTGCCTCTTAAAAGAGAGTTTTTCTTTGCCTGTGTCGCCAAGTGCTTGCTCATGTTGGGAATTGTTGGGTCTCTGTAAATAATAGTACAAAGAGTAAGGTATAGACCTGCTCTATAGTAAAAGCGCTATGAGATAACCTTTGTTCTGAATTGGCGCTATATAAATAAAATAAAATTGAATTGAATCTCATTACCTCTCAGTGCTGTGTTGGTTTCAGTCAGCATCTTTCTTTCTACAGGGTTTCTGCGGGTCTTAAAAAGTCTTAAATTTCAAAATCAAAATTTAAGGCCTTAATTCACTGAAGTTTGTGTTCTAGGTCTTAAATAATTTTTATCAGGTCTTAATTTCCCAACATCCATGTGGCGCTACCTCTAATGCTCATTGAAATGATCCCACAATGCTTTAGAATGTTTTTTCCTCCCACGGTGTTGTAGTTCTTTCTTTCTCTAGTCCAAGGGCCTTTCTCAATCTGTCTTCTTGTGTTCTTGTGAAACCTTTTTGTGCCCCAAGTACTGTCCCAATACACAAGTTTGCATTTTGGCAAGAACGGTTAAAAATCCTGGAGGAGGATGCATCGGTTGGTAACTTGTGTGAACTTGACGGCAGAGATATCCCAGCATTCATTTCGGCATTCAAGCGAGGGGCTGAAAGAAACTGAGAGGCCAACAGAACGTTTTGTACTATTTTCGTACATTATTTGATCACTAAATCCACTTCTGAGAAGGTTTGTGGCGAGAAATCAACTGTGTAGATGTCGAATATTGGCAGTTTACTTAAAATGACGGCAAATCGAAATGTGTCCGCAACAGTCAGCGGGGGAAGCTAACGAGCCAGCCAGCAGGGGGAGCTAACGAGCCAGCCAGCAGGGGGAACTAACGAGCCGGCCGGCCAGATCAGATCACAGAGCCCTCAGACACGCAGACCGCTACAGCCAACAGAGCAGAGGAAAAGATGATACAACAAATAATTGCTGTTATTCTGTCATTACATTCTGAGTAATTTTGTAAGATTTTAACTTAAATCAAGAGACTTCTTGATAATGTACAGAAAAATGGTGATGTACAATGATCAGAAATAGGACGAAAGGGAACTGTCTTTTCTTTATTATTATTATATTAGACATGACATTGCTAGTGTACAGTAGAGTTGTGGTCACAGTATTTGCTTTTATTTTATATAATTTTTTATGTGCAAATATATCATGGTAAGTTCAAACCTACAGTAAACCCGATTATGAGCTTTTTGTTTTCGGGGATAAAGCCTGGCTGTTAATAATAATCAGAGCGATGCAGGCGGCCTCTGTGCTGGGGGTATTGTGCCAGCAAGAACGCATCGTCTCAAACCGTCAACAGCATTTTGTGTGCTCGTGACATTGCAAGTTCATTCTTCCAAGAACGACTAGCAAGAACATTCTCCCCAAGAAGTCCATTCTTTGCATTCTTGGTTTTGAGAAACCAAACCCCTAATCCAAATATAATTTGCTGTATTTCGACTACAAACACCAACATGCAGCTGTCCTGTTATTACTGCCAGTCTCTTTTGGGTTTTAATGCACACAGATATCAAACGGATTTATTGTTCAGCTGTACGAAAGTGCAAACTTTGTGACTCTTCCCCGCCGCTCTCTGTCTCTCTCCCTGTCTGCTCCCCTGAATTTCTCTATCAGCAGTAGGTTATATTTTATAATGTCGCCAAAAAGACACAGAAATCGTCTTTTTTTGTGGATATTTTTGAAGAGGCACTGGCATTGACAAAGATGTGACAGAACCAACCATCGCTGACCTGGTAAACATCTTTCGTACTCACATGGGGCAGCAGCAAGCCTGTGAGGCCAAATGGGAGCAGGAAGCAACCAGGCAAGAGAATAGGTTCAAGGCACTTCAACACCAGTACAGTCTTCTGCAATTGGAGGTTCAAGCAAGGACCTCACCTGCTTCTGGGTCCTCCTCTCCCCAGCAGAATACCCAGGGTAATGGAGCCCAGGTCAGTTCACCATCTCAGGTAGCTTATCCACCAAGAGCCCTCCAGCAGGGTGACTCTCAGTATGGTCAGTCTCATTCACACTTCTTTAAAGAGCCTAAGCTTCAAAAATTAACTGATGCAGATGATACTGAACATTTCCTTTTTACCTTTGAAAGAATAGCAGTGGCCAAAAGAAAACTGGGGCTTTCGACTTATTCCATTGTTGACGGGTAAGGCTAGAAGTGACTATGTACACATAGATTTTGACGAATCTCGAAGTTAAATGTGCCATTCTCAAGAAATATGATATTAACCCTAAATCATATTGGCAGAGATTTAGATCTCTTAATGTGGAACCTGATGAGACCCCAAAAGGGCTCTATGTGAGACTTAAGGAGCTTATGGGAAATGGGTTCAACCAAGAAAAAAACTGTTGATGATATTGGTGAAATTATTATTATTGAGCAATACTTGCGTATGCTGTCCCCTGAGCTGCAGGTTTGGATCAAAGAGCATGACCCACGGACTGCGGCAGAGGCTGCTTCATTAGCAGATGTGTTGTAGCTGCACGCCATAAAAATCCCTCCTGGTTTGCAAGTCCTGGAAGGCTTCAAAGGACTGTCAGAAACCTGCCTTGGCTGAGCAATGCCCACGATCACCAATAAGTAAGACACCTGTGAAGGACAATCAGCCACTTGCTCATGGTTCCGGTAAAAGTTTTAAAAAATTGGTTTGTTATGTATGTGGGCAAGAGGGGCACACAAAGCCAGCTTGTCCACAGAATCCAGTAAAACTTACACAGATGTGCTATGCACCCCGGAAGAAATGTGAGCCTGGGCTGCAGGTGAGGCAATACCTTAAAGAGACATCGATCGAAATTAATGGTCAGAACCTGAGGGCACTTATTGACACTGGAAGTAATCAAACACTAGTGCATAGACGTCATGTGACCCTATAATAGTCCCTATTTGTTGTGTCCATGGGGATGAAAAACCTTATCCAACTGCTGATGTGTATGTTAAAGTGCAAGGGCAGACTTACCTGCTAAATGTTGGTGTCACTGATAATCTGCCTTTCATGATTTGCCAGTGCTTCTTGATCTGATACAGCAGAGTTCCATCTGCAAAATGGCCTTGACCTGGCTCGGGCACGGGCATCAACATTGCACTCAGGTGAGACAAATTGCACTATACGTTCTCTGCCTTTTTATGATGCCTAGGTTGAGGCCGAGCCAGGAAAGTCTCACAAGTCTCGTAGGCAAAGACGGCAGGAAAACCCTTGAGAGGTCAACCCCTGAGCTGCCCATGGGTTTCTAATTACCTGTGAACATGGTGCAACTGCAGCAAGAAGATGTTAGTTTAGCTGACTACATCCAAAGAGCAAAGGCAAATGAAGGGAGAACTGATTTGGAGCACGGGTTGGAAGGATATATCTTACAGAACGGTCTCCTTTACTATCAACATAGATCAAGAAACCAGCTGGTGGTTCCTAAAGTAGTTAGAGAATCAGTACTTGCTTTAGGTCACTCTATTCCCTGGGCAGGCCACCTAGGGAAACATAAAACAACAGCTCGTATCCACCGCTATTTTCATTGGCCTGGTTTACGTAAAG